CGAAGGTTGAGAACAATGGAAGTAGAAAAAGGTGCAGCAGCAGCAAATTAGCACGTTCTAACATTTTTAACTTTTGTACTGCCGGCTGAATCCATCACCGACGCTGCGTCCACTCGTTTCGTTTCTGCTGGTGAGACATTTTTGCTGAGACGTTTGTAAAGGTGTTATCTTTCTCTTCGGTGCTTTGCATACATAACTAGAACTCGGTACAAACTTACTTTATTGCTCAGAAAACTGGCGAAATGGAATGAATTCTCAAGTGGCGATGCCAGTGGTGGCGGTGGCATGTACTACAGTATCAATATTTATGAAAGGGAACACACGAGCGCCTGGCCGGCGCTCTGCTGTGACTGCCTGCTACACCATCAGCTGACAGATAAAAAAAGCGCGTTTCTATTGCAGCACCTGTTGCGAGACCAGAGCTGGAAGCACAATTTAGCAGCGCTTGTCCAATAGTCATGATTTCTTGTTTTGTTTGCTAACCGATCATTCAAAAAGCGGATGCACTTTGTTTATCTGTCGGATGATGGTGCTGTAGGCAGCCACGACGTGCAGAAGACCTCAGGCTTGAGTGTTCCGTTTCAAAAAAATTTACGCTGTACGAACATTTGCGACGGGCGTGGACGTGGCTTTGCGGCCGCTCGGTGTTTTTACTTGAATTCCCCAGTGTGAACTCTCCAGGACTGATTTCTTGTCGACTTCTCAGCACAGTTCTCCAGCAGCTTAAGTGCGGCGAAGTGAATGCATTTTCAATGACTTTAGCCGCTTTCGCTTACTTCAATGTCATGTGTGAACGCGCCTCGCCAGCAGCATAAGTGAGGAAACCGCGGCACTTTCTGGAAAAGACAATGAAGGCAGAAAAGTTGGAAGGAACATAATTGACTTCCACCGCAAGAAGTAGTTGCCAGTAAAGTTCTTATTGATCTTCATTATCAGTTTAAACTTGCTTTTAGTTCATACAAATTCAGGATACGAACATTCCGCGTTCTCTCTTTGAATTCTTATCATCGAGATTCTACTCTATATAATAAAAGTTATCTTTACACTAAACCAATAGGGCTCTATCAAAATAAATGTAAAAAACTTCCATTCCAGTCATTGAAGTACCGTAGCCGACATGAGAACTTGGAGAAAATTTAGATGTGCTTGCCGCACCATTGCTAGGCAATGAAGTGAAAAACTTTTTTACGATAGGAATTATATGACTTAAGAGTACTGAACGCTGGGCGAGTTGGTAAATCATGACTACAAAAACTGCGCGAAAAATCGACAAGAAACGGAGAAGGCACACACACAAGCGCAGCTTGTGTGTGTGCCTTCTCCGTTTCTTGTCGATTTTTCGCGCAGTTTTTGTAGTCATGAATTATATGAACACCCGACGGCTTTCGCCGTCACCTCCATGTTCCACGTAGGGTAACGGTCGATAACCCTCCCTACACTTCGTACCTTCTATCCCCACGTAAAATTACACAAGTTAGCGTTATGAGTGCTGCTCAAGCAGAGATTCAACTAGGAGGCTGATTTTTGTCACTCGAGGGCGCACGCAATTGCATCCCAGTGCGCGTTAGACCTGCCATCGAATGCTCAAGCAGAGAGAAAACACGCTGTCCGTCTTGAAGAAGCATGAAAAGACGCAGGAGAAAGGAGCTCGCTCGAGGAGCAGCTGTGAACTTTGATCTGAAGAGCGTGGTTGTGATAGGTGGCGCATGCGCTATCGGCAAGCATCAGCACACAGCTCGTAAACCGCTGTACGTAGTGTGCTCTCAACAGGAAGAGAGAGATGATATGAAGAAAGGCTGGGAGGTTAACCAGAAAGCTACCCGGTTTGCTACCCCGCACTGGGGAAGGGTAAATAGGAGACAGAAAAGTAAACAAAAGGGAATGAATGAATGAGAGAGGCACGGAAGCGAAAACACACACACTAAAATGTCACAAATGTTCGAAGAGGCGGATCGACTGCAGAAACTTTAGCAAGGCTTTCATCACTTTTCGGCATAAAGCTCATTGCTTCCGGCATTCCAATATTAATTAACGGGAAGAAATTGTGCGGTAAGGACACTTTTCCCTGGAGCAGCCGTACTTTTCTTACACCAGCGTTTTATAGTAGTGAGTGTCGTGATGTTGGATCCAAAAGAGTTATCTGTCGGCCTCCGTATTGTAACGTCTTGTTCATATTGTAATTTTGTATGGCCACGGGGTTGTGATGTGGATGAAAGCAGCAGCCTCTGTTTTCATGAGTGAACTTTTTATTTGGGCTAACCTGTGTACGGAAAACGAAACGTCACTCTACAAGCAATACATGTTGTAAACCAATAGCAGTGAATATAGAGCATCAGCCATTGGTAATTTGCCACGCAGCAAAGTGCGTCGGCATCTATACAAATGCCATCGAAGATTGCAGCGTCATCGCTAGCAGCCACGTAAGTTCCAGAACAAACTCTAATGTACGGGTTGTGCGTGTAATCGCGTCGGAAAGTTCTATGATTATCTAGATGGTTCCCAGTCATTTGGATGTCGTTTGCGCAAGGCAGCGTTGCAGGCATAATGGTACGGTAGCAAAAATAGAAAGAAAGAAATGCAGGCGGCCTTAGCATTCGAACATTTCAAGCTGTTGCTATTGCAAATATTCCTTTGCAGGTGAAACAGATTTTTTTTTTTTTTTTTTTTCCAGTTTGTATGGTTCAATGGTTTCCATCGCAGAGAGTGTGCTGTGCCTGGCAGTTTCTCGGCAACGGTGCGGTGAGTTTTTTGCAACAACACTGCTGTCTTTACAGTCTGACTAACAGCTTTGCTGTTAAAACATATGTAGTTGCATAATGAGGTAGGCACACAAACGTTACCTTACCAAGATTCATGCAGTCTATTCACAAGGTGACCAAACTAATCTGATATGCACACGGTTGCATCCTTTGTAGAGCCCATCCGTTTTGGCCGGTCGATGATAGAACTCGACTAAATTTGGTGTTGTGCCCGCAAACTGCCGTTTAGGCCCAGCTTCGCACGGAGGTCAGATTGGCGCAGAATGGTGCAATTGGCGCAGCACTTCCACCCCTGAACTTATCTTGAACATGCAGAACCACTTGGTATCATGAAAATGCACAAATTCAATTTTCAATGGAGCATCTAGGGCAGTGAGCAGTAGAGCAATGGCCATGGGCGGAGCTTACATATAAATTTTTTATATGTTGCAGCCATTTACACACTTGTCTATACTGTGCACTTTGTACTGTCTACCACAGCTACGAAATCACTGTGCTACCAAACACAAACTTGTGAGTTCAACTTCTGCCAGTCGCAGCCGGATTCAGAAAGAAATACAAAGTGAAAACACCACTGTGTCAAGGTTCGAGCACAAGTCAAAGAACCACAGGATGTCAAAATTATTATGGAGACTGCACCAACCCTTCTTCATCAAGAGGTTCATCAACACAAACTGTGTAAGTTCATGACGGTGCACCCATATAGTCATTTTCAAAATTTACAAAAGACCACTGCAGCAATGATCAAACAAGAAACTGTACAGCAGCCTAGTACTGATCTTTGATGCTGAAAATAGAATTTACAATTTAAGGGGAGATGCTACTCGAAGACACTTTTTCTTTAATATTCACCCTAAACCAATGAAACTTGAGCTGTTTATGGAACTTTTTACGCTGATTTTAAGCATATAATTAGTTTTCTTGCAAGTTACACACATTTAGCTCTGCAACATTACAAAATGAAAACCTTAACCCTTTTGCCCCCCTTTTTTCATCCTTAAAATTTTGTAATTTTTTACCATTCATAGTTCATAATGCTTAAAATAAAGTGTTGAGTGCAAATGACTAATTAGAAAGCACATACAAAATACGCAATACGTGTGAAAAATACTAGACATAAAGAGTCCATATTTCAACTAGCCTAGCAAAGGTATATATATATATATATAATTTTTTATTATACAAAAAAATCTTGAAATTTCAACTAGATAATTGCATTTGTCATACTTTGGAAAAAATTTGGACAAAATTTCATGCAGATTCAAGCACTAGAAGTGCCCAAAAAAGGAAGGGCACATTGGAAAAAATGGCAAAATTTGTGTTTTGAGAAAAACGAGTTTCAAAGTTAAAATTGAATTTTTATTTATGAAAGATACCATTATATCAGATGAAATTTGCACACCAAAAAGAACAATCCTTCTTGTAGTGGCCACTGCGACTAAAATACGCCAGCACCATGAGTTTGTCCCTCTCGGCTTTTTCGAGCCGACTCCTCACAGACATTTCGATCACAGGCAGGGCCATGATACACTTGCCAAACTTCCGCTCCATCTGGCAGAGTCTTGTGCCAACTGCAAGCTAGAAAGAAGTTCGACAGGACTGCGAAATCCAAACTTAGTCCAGTGTCATGCCATTTTGCAGCCATGTTTGTGCGACATACTGTCGTACATAATGGCAATGTCGTCCCTGCTAAGTTCTCTCACTGCGAGCTCTTTCAATCTCTCAAGATTGGTGCTGACCTCATCCATTGCCGCATCAGGAACTTTCCGGCTAACAGGTGTGAATAACCTTTGACGCACTGGCTTTTGCAAGCCAACAAATTAACTGCCGCAAATCGGACCAGCTGCTTGTAGCCTTATCCTACAGAACGCACCGCACAACGGCTTTCACTTGCGAGCAATGCTTTTTTTTTTCATTCATAACCGAGATAATTACACGAGAAAAGCATTGTTCAGCTGCTCTGCTTGACAAGACATGGACCCCGCAAATAGGTTTCACAGCACATACAGGCGCGCAGTGGCCAATGGCGGTCCCCGATTCGTACCATGTGATAAGCCAGTCGCGGCGCTCGAAAAACGTGCAGAAGAGTGATTCTTTTTTTTATTTCTTGCACTGCATCAGCGAGAGAAACTGTTGTTATTTGAAGAGTGAGGCTCGACTCTTCGATTCATGCGATCAACAATGGCTAGCGGCGGCATATTATCGGCGGCAAGGTGCTCGAAGACTGCACACTTTAGACCTTTTAACAGGCACCTTGTGTTCTTTAGATGAAATTTCAAAGCATTTACAGTCAAGTCTCTACCTGTATTATTTTTTTCATAACAGTGGAGGTACTAATCTCATCAAAAGAGGCGTAAATAAAAGATCGGCAATTTTGAAAAAAACTAGCATTTTTCGACTTGCATCTCCCCTTAAATGCAGCACTATTAAAGCCATCAAATGCATTTCGCACTGCTTAAAAGTTGGTCGACAAGGCAAGATTATGAACACAAGTGACGTTTGACGGATAAATCGACTTATGCGAAGCGACAGTGCATGATGGTACAGAAGTGGTTTTGTACTTCCAGAGCAGGACCCATTTCGCCTCAGAATGTTTTAAAAATTTGACTGTACATATAAACACCAAGGTATGCTGGCATAAATAGTATGTTAATCCCAACAATTAGTAAACATTGGTCATTGACTGAACCCGTAGTATTGCACTATGCACAACACTATCATATCATGCCATACGATGTGCACACCATGCCAGAACTGCAGAAACGCTCAGCATTAAAAGGCACACTGCCACACAAACATGTAGCTAGCATACTGAGCATACGCAGTTCTTTGCGCATACATTCAAATGTGAACAGGCAGGCTTTCCCTCTGAATGCCCAACAAATGGAAAAGCCAGGGAGAGCCCAGGGACATGGTGAGCCCCATGGAGAGATATGTGATGTACTTGTAGGGAAGCTCAATGGAGCCCTTTTGCCGGCTGCTCTCCAGTTTGGGGTCGCAGCCATGGACACTACACAGCAGCGGGTATATCTGCGATACAAACCAATACAAAACTTTCAAATATAACTGGCCAAAAAATCAAAGCCCTAGGTACAAAGAAGGCTTAAGGTTTAGTAAGAGAGGATAAAAAAAAATATAACAAAGAGCAAGCAGCACCATGCAAGCAAGTTGTTTTACTGTGATAACAATTATATCAACATTCAGGGGTCCACAAGTTACGTCATATATGTGAGTGAAAGTGTGAGACGCCAGGCTTAAGTAGAGAGGGAGTATGCCAACCGTCTTCAATTGCAGAAAATACCCAATAAGGGTCTGTGTTGCTTCAGTGACAACTGCACGCTTTGAGCAGCTGGGAAGGGCCATGCATGGCCGACAGGAATTGGCAAACAACTCCAAGTGCAAATCATGGTCTGCAAATGTGCCGAATTTACAGCGCATGATTCCTATTGACTCATTATTACATTCCAAGAAATGAAATAAGGTATGTGTATTGTCAGTTTCTGTAAATACTGCTAATTAGCATGTAAATATCTAGCTTCAATAGTTGCATAAGAAGAGTGAAATATTAGGCCCAACTGCACACACAGTTTGTTTTTCGGCAGTATTAATTATTGAGCAAAGAAAAAAAAATACGCTTGACACTGGTCCTGGGACATGGCACATCAAACAGTTGCTTAGTGTACACAGTGAAGTGATCATTTCCAGCAATAGGCAGCATAACGAAGTTGAATGAACATTAGTAGTTCACTCAGGAGGCCTGCATAAATTTGCACACAGCATTTGAAGTCATTTGAAGAAACACATGATGTGTGACATGCCTCCAAATTTGATGTGTACAATTGTACACACTGCTGCTGAGGGGGTTGCTTCAAGCTATGTTTTTTGAACACTCGGCTACTTGTTGAAGCAATAGAATACACCACCAAGGCCCTTTTGCTCACTGCTGCAGCCAAATTTTCTCACACCAGCAATTTACCGGCTTTTGCTGGGTCAGACCCAGAAGTTGGCTGCTAGCCTTATGTCACGTAACATTCCCATCTGTTGCTATCACATTCTGTGCTTTGTAAAACTCTTAGCTGGGCGAGTTGGTTCATAATTCTGGGTAAACTGGTGTGCACAGATACACTCAAACCTTGTTATAACGAAGTTGAAAGAAAGCCACAATTATTTTGTTATATCCATTATTTTGTTATATCAATTTGTGGCAATCTATGCTCAGATGGGCGCACACCTATAAGCATGCAAAGAAGGGAATCGCCTTGCGGCCCGATGTACCACTACGCGACCATGCGTGTGACAGAAAATAAACACAGTCGAATCTCATTAATTCGAACACGCTTAATTCGAACTCACGCTGAGGTCCAGTCAAAGTTATGTGTATTCCAATGGGCGAAAATTCTCTGTCATTCGAAAATGCAAGCACTTGCGACAGTTAACTTGAACATACCGCGCTCCGAAAATGCTCTCTGCACCATGACCGATCCCGCGGCGGCACCTCTCAACGCTGCGGGCGAAGAAGGAAAAGAACAAAAGGAAAGAAAAGACTGTGGCGAATTGCTTGCTCTTTCTCAAATGCTGATCTATGACACACCTGTGCCACGCTTCTTCCTTTTCCGTCTCTGCACGTAGAGACCCTTCTTTCTTCAAGGTCACGCGCGGAAAGAGAGAGAAAAAAATTGGCCCCGTATTTGCATTTCACGCCGCAAATGTTGTCTAAAGATCTGGAGAGAGTGAACAAAATGTTTATTAGATGTTCTGCGCAAGAAAATCAGTGAATGGTATTGTGGAGGTGCTGAGTTAGAGTGCCTCTAGCGTGCAGTGGAGGCGAACGTGCACATCAAGTCCCGTCACACGTGAGACATGAGCGCTATCTAGCAGTTATCCTGGAAAAGAGGGCGCGCGCTGTGCACGCCCGTCTCTGAGGTAATAAGGTGTACAACGCAAGGCGACGGGTAGGAGCTACCATCGTGTCGTCTTAGCAAAGCATTGGAAACACGGCGTTTCGTGCAAACGTTGCATGGCGAGTGCAGCGTTATAAAGGCTACGATACCTAAAATTACTTATGTATGCCTTTTCTAGTAAAAAATACACATACATAATATTGACGTGTTGTTAAGGTGCCTTAGATATGTGCAATAATTGCTTTTAAAGACGATAGTCTTTTTTGGAGACCTTCGACACAAAAATTTGTCTGTCTGTCTGTCTGTACATTTGTCTGTTTGTCTTCTCTTAACGGCATCGGGTACTTGAAACGATTGGCCCCATCCGCAGCGCCTACTAATGCTGCTCAAGATTCAGCGTTCATACTAGTGCAATCGTCAATTAAAAAGCAATTATTTCACATGTCTGGGGCACCATAACAACCCGCATATATTTTGTATGTGCGTCCTTTACTAGAAAAGGCATACATAAGTAATTTTAAGGACCGTAGCGCTTATCGCACTGACCATGCAACGCTTGCACGATTAGGCAAGTGTGGCACCTACCTGTCGTCTTGCGTTCTACACTTTATCACCTCTGAGACGGGTGCGCACACCCGTCTCAGAGCCACGCGCTTCGTTTTCTAAGAAAACTGCTGGATGGCACTCATGTCTCACGTGTGACATGTCGTGACTTGATGCGCTCGTTCGCCTCTGCTGCACGCTCGATGCACTCTAACGCAGCGCCTCCAAAATACCATTCACCAATTTCCTTGCTCAGAACATCAAATAAATGTCTCGTTCACTTTCTCCACACACAAGACTATCATCTTTCGACGACATTTGCAGATTAACATGGAGATAAGGGGCCATTTTTAAATTGACAATCGCACAAGTATGAACGTTGAACCTTGAGCAATATTGGTTGGCACTGTGGATGGGGTCGGCCGTTTGGAGCATCGTTTGGTCACTTTGGTGCCGTTTGAAGTACCGTTAAAGCTGGTCAAACAGACAAATGTACAGACAGACAGACAGACAGACCAAAATTTTTGCGTTGAAGGTCCCCAAGAAAGACTATCGCTGTCGCGGAGAGTCCTCCTTTCTGGGTGCAGAGGGTAGCAGTGGAGACACAGTCGTTGCCAAGTGACAAGAAAATCGCTTTGCACCGCAGTGCCGCTTCTCGGTCATGTGACTTGCTGAGAGCTTCCTCAATCCTCTCCGCTGGCTGTGTGAGGAGGACGACTCTCTCGGCTGCGCGGGGCGTGGCTGTAAGGTCGGCGCGGGAGTTTTGAAATAGCTGCGCTGATTAAGCGTCAAACTGCACAGAAAACGATATACTTAACAGACTACGGTCAGTTTTTTTATAGACTATTTGATAGACTAATTTAGTTTGTTATATCCATTTACCGGTCAATTTTGCTTCGCTACAACGAGGTTTAAAATGCATGGTTCTCAATGCAGCTTTCAAGGGGAATCTTGTTTACTTCGTTATATCCATTATTTTGTTGTATCCTGTTACGTTATAACGAGGTTTGAGTGTACAGACAAACGATAACAAAAAAGAAGAGACAGGAACCAGCTATACAGCTATACTTCACAACTATACTATGCATGACTTCATAATAAAAAAACTTGCACGGTTACAATGTTCGTAGCAGCCCATGTACAAAAAGGCACCAAAGTAATTGTGAAAGTCTGACGTCTACAGGTTTTCCCGCTCACTTTAATCCAAGTGCCAGCCTAAATAATCTGCACGCCATTGAAATAATCTGAACGCCGAGCTATTTAATCCATGTGCCAAACATTTAATCCAAGTGCCAACATATTTAATCCAAGTGCCAACTCACTCAGGCCACGTGCCATTCAGATTAATCCAAGTGCCACCGTGTTTAATCCAATTGCCAATGACTTTAATTCAGGTGCCAGTCAGTTAAATCCATGCAAAAAAAACAGAATACGGGGCGTAAAAATGGCAGTGCCATTGAAATGCAGTTCCTACAGTATAAAAGACAATAGTCGGAAGGTAGAATCAATCATTATTATTTGTATTCGCCGATGGTATTCTTGAAAAACATTACTCCTGTGGTTCGCTTAAGCCATGTTTGGAGTGCTTATACTTTGCTATGCGCAAGTTTGCATAATGAGTCCTTGGTGCAGGTGAAATAAATTTAATGAAAACGAAAAAAAACGCAGGAACATATTACTGAACATTTTACAGTGCAATAAAATTCAGTATCCGTCACTGAAGCTCATAATTGGCTTTGGTACACACTACAACATTACATGACCAGGACAGGTCATGTATAGCGAACGACACACTATGTTTATTGGAGTGCCGGAACGCATACTAAGAGATTAAAAGCATGGTCGCGGGCAGTGATGGGTCAAAAACAGCTACATAATCAAGAAATTAGGAAACCGTCGCGTGGCACGCGCTGTGAATTAGAGATAATTCCAATATGTTTTTTTTTTTCCTGTAGTGAACATACAACGTAAACTGATCATCCTGATGTGGCAATAGAAGTCTTATTTTACATTATTGTATGCTCTCATTTTTTTATTCAAACAAAGTTAAATGTCTCCAATGATACAAACAGTACTGATTGTTCGTTTAGCTTGTTAGTTTTGTGACGTACTTGATGAATGCGATGAAACGAACACAGAGGAAACAAAATGATAATAACACGCAACTGACCTTGGGCCTAGCTTTCTTTTTTTTGCGTACGTGTTTTTTTTTGCGCGGCATTATGCCTCTCATCGCACATTGGAAGCTTGCGGATTCTTCAGTGCAATCACTAAAATATTTGTTCTGTCCCCCCTCTCTATCTCTACACACACACACACACACACACAAACACACAAACACACACACACACAAACACACACACACACACACCCACACACACACACATATATATGTGTGTGTGTGTGGGGGTGCACACATACATACATATACATATACAGGAAAACAAGAGTGATTACTACTAATTATTCAATAAATGCAACATAGGTGCAGGTTAGTGTATTTAATAGAACAGAACTCTCATAGGGCTTGGAGACGGATGTTCACAAGTCATCTTCACGCAAAGCGGCAGGCACGAAAGAGAAATT